GGGTTATGGTGTAATTATATGTTGGGTATCATATTATAGAAGTTTAAATTTAGATACTTCCATATTCTTGCTACTCATGTTCTCCACTGCTGCTAGCCGGTCTTTATTTTTATTTTTATTTTTTATTTTTTATTTTGGCCGTTGTCTCGTGCGAGGAGATTATCCAGCTGGTTGACATTGGAATCCTCTTGAACACGTAGAAGTGCCCATTCGTCGTGTGTTTGTAGCTTGCCCACTGGGTTTAGAATTAGATTGCGTCTGAGACCTATCTTGACATTATATATTTTGACATCTCTTAAAACCATCAAAATCTACCCTTATAAACAGTTGAATATCTCAATAATTATAGCTTCAATTTAATTCAAACTAACTTGTAGATGATATAGAATTAATATTTTGTGTTGGACATCTGAGTGGTTGTATTGGTTGCTAGCTAATCGGGGTTATGAACTTGTGTGTACAGTGTATGAGGCACTAGTCCGTACTAGAAATATAAATCTGATTAATGACGCTGCAACGCGAAGCCTTTGGTAATTATCCAGGTTATTTATTATCTCTGTGGCCTTTTGGCATAACTCACATATGCAATGCGGAGCGCTAGTCCTCAATAGGAAGTCCAGGCGCCAAGAAACATCCCATTAAACCACGTGATATGTGGCTAAAATTCTCTGCCACTTGTCTTATCAATCAGCCATCTTCATCATCCCGCCACATTGGATTCAATCATCGATTGTTACCTTCACATTCCTACATCGAGGTCACGTACCCGTCGAAATTTATATCCTCACATTTCAACAACGATGTTCAGACGATTGCTCACCCTTGCCCCCCGGGCGTCGCCCTTGTCATTCATGCCCCTGACCGTCCGGCCTTCGATCTCGAGCTCAAGTAGTTATCATTTGGCCCCCATTGTCGTGTCGTCTGTTCGGAGCTATCATGAAAAAGATAAGTTTGGTCTTATTTCGGTCCTGATATTGTATAGTTGGCACTTGTATATCTCAAGTCCAATTCCATGGTTAGCTGATCGTTCTCTGCACTGCTAGATCATTATAGCAATCCCCGGAATGTAGGGTCGATGTCAAAGGGAGATTTGGATGTCGGTACGGGGCT